CGACTTAGAGGTGAGTATTGATCAGTTTTCATTATAAATTAGTATAAATTAGTAAGCATTGGGAGGGATTGATGGGCCCGTACTTGTCTGACTTAGCATCCAGGATACTCAGCTCACAAAATCATGTTTTTTAGTCGAGCAGCCAACTCGTAAAATTACTCAAAAGACAATTGATTTGCATAACATTTTACAATAACGAAACAGAAATGATCACAAAAAAATATGCACATTACAATATTAAGTTCGCACCATCAGAATTTCTGATGTAAAATTATTAAGTCTGAGGGGAAATGCTCAAAGTCCAGAGATTCATCATGATCTTCGTTGATTGTTTTTTGATTGTATGCAAACTCTCGATGCAAAGCAATTTCCGCCATGATGTTTTTCTGCACGATTTGACCTGCAACATTGCCCTCTGACCTGCAACATTGCCCTCTGACCTGACAGGTCAAGTATGTTATTGACTAATCAGAATGCTGTGTTGTACTGATGCAAATTACTTGAATTACTTAAATTAATTAAATTCAGGAGAAACATCAGTGACACTCAATGTCTGGAACTGTCGCCTGACACAAAACAAAATTTAAAAAAATAAAATAAATAAAAATGGCAAATATTGGTGACAGTTGTTAAAAATACACAAAATGATAATAGTTATGTAACATCTAACTAAGTCGGTGAAAATCAGATTTTATACAAGTGAAAGTTTTGTTTTACAAATGCCATAAAATCAAATTCAAGTTCCTAAAATTCCAAGTAGTGAAAAATTAAGAGTTTTACAGTATTATTTGATTTTACAACTGAATGTTTCAAATTTTTAGCTCCGCTGTCGACTTTGTTCGAGCGGAGCTTATCATATGAGTGATTGTCCGTCGTCGTCGTCCGTCGTCGTCCATGTCAATGTTTTACTTTTTCGACTTCTTCTTGAAAACTACAAGCCTGAATGCTTTGATACTTGGTGTATATGTACCTTGGGTAGACCTCTCTTAGGTTTGTTCATTTCATGTTGATATCTTCAATTCTCTAATTTTGGTGAATATTTTTGTAATTTTTGGTAAAAAGTGATATTTTCGACTTCTTGTTAAAAAC